GGGTGGGACCCGCCGTGCGGCGTGGCGGAGGCGGCGGGCGGCGGCCAGGGGCCGCCGCGGCTGCTCATGGATGCAGCTCGATTGCTGCTGCTGGCGTCGTATGTTGACTTCACAGCGTCTGGTGACGCGCTGCGGTCCAACAGAGGCACCTGCAGGTGCCATAGCATGCCATGATCGAAGCGCCGACCGACATTCAAATATTGTCGCACAGTAGCAGTGGGAAGTAAGCGAGCGCCGACCCGTCGGCGCACGCCTGTACCCTATAGCCTGCGGCGCCTGCCCTCGGCAAGCTCACCTGCTGCCCGCCGCCCGCGCGCCGCCGACACGCGCGCCCGCGCCACGCGGCCTGGATCCGCGCCGCTGCCGCCGCCCGCCTCGCGTCGGCCTCCGCCAGCGCCTCGGGCGCGGTGTCCGCCAGGCGCCGCTTCTCTAGCTCCAGCTGCTGCATGCGCTGGCCATGGCGGCGCATGACCGCGGCGTACCGCGCGTCTGCCGCTGCGGTGGCGCGCTCGCGCGCTGCGCGCCGCTGCACGAGCCAGCACCGCGTGGCGCGCTGGATTGTGGCGGCGGCGGCATCCTGCAGTACACATGATGTTTGGGAGGGTGTTCTTGGTTTGTAACTGTAACTGATCATTTGCACACGGTGAACAGTCGTGCGCAGCATGGGCAGCAAGAGCACATTCGCCATGGCCAAGAGCAGCGACAGCGCTGCACCTGTATTGGACCCAAGCATGTCGTTGATTGTGTGCCTGCATGGCAAGAGGATTGCCCTATTGTTAGCGACTGATATGAAAAGCTGAATGTTGCGTGAAATTCCTTGCATACCTGACGCTCGATCGTCCAGATCACGCATCCTGGTCCGTGTAGCAAGTCAGCAGGCCAGGATGTGATAGTTGATTGGATCAAATCAGCTGATCGTCGCGCCACTGTCGATGACACCGCGTCCGCCCGTGATGAGCGTGATTGGTGACTCTGCCGAGCAGAAGCCCAAGGTATGCCGCGTAACTGTTAAAAAGTAGGATAATAAATGTACTGGGTCCAAACACGTGGCCTTTGAGCTCCTGTTCAAGTGATTGGCACCAGCAGCTGACATTGACCAGGTTTGACCCACATCGTTGCCCCAGGCCAGGACACCTCCGGTCGAAGTTGCTGTGTTGGCCATGGTGTCTGAAAAATCCCATGTATTGCAGTGAGCACAACACCCCAGTGGCTACAAGCCAAGAACTCGATATGCAGCACTCGAAATCCAACGCTGTCCGGTGCATGCATCACAATCAGAGAGCCGGCATGGTTGCACAGTTGCCTGCGCATGCTTCTTGTAAAGAAGCTGGATGCCTTGTGTTAAAGTTCCTTTGATCACAGCCACTGCGGAGTTGAGAAATCCACACACGATGTTTCCCACTCACGTCAGCGTTCATTGGCAAGCAGTGCTGTAGTCGGCAGCAGGCAGCTGCAGATGCTCAGGCCTGTAAGATATCGCGCTGCTCGAAAGAAACATGCAGGCTGCTGCTGTGGACCAGATGCAGACTGCCGGGGGCCGCAGTGGGCACATGCACACACGGCCCCCTTCATACCGATGACGCCGCGGCCAGTTCAGAGTGACAAAAGTATGATTTGCACCAGCTGCCAATGCGGCGCGTATTTCAGGAGACAATGCAGGCGACCATCAGCTGCAGACAAAATCAATCCGAATCAGCGCAAAGCGGGCGGGACCCACAAGTGATCTTCGGGTTGGTGTGCGGCTCACGTCTGTATTAGGCGAGTGCAATGCATGTCATCTCGTTTCGTAAGCTGCAGCCCTGAACATCGAGCCCTTGACAGATGGACGTCACACAATTCGATTCAATCCAACCCGTCCGCACGCCGGACCGCCGCCGCGCCCTGCCCACAGGCCGCTGCCGCAATGAGCGCGCACCGCCGCTTTGCCGACGAATGGGTGGATGGTTGGAACAAGAGGTGAGGGCTCATGTTGCCAGCGGCATGCAGGGCCGTGGGCCAGGTCTGGCACTGCAGCAGCCAGCTACCACTCGACCGCCCGCCAGTGACCGGGGCCTAATTCAAGCCCTTCCCTCTCCACCTCATGCACCTTACTCCCACACACACGCCCGCACCCCCAGGGACCTTGAGGCCATCCTGTCCCACTACAGCGAAACGGTCGAGTTCGTCTCGCCGCGCGTCGCCGCCGCGTTTGCGCGCGGCGCGGGCGTCGGGGACGCGTCGGGGCGCATCGTGGGGAGGGAGGCGCTCAGGGCCTATTTCAAAGAGGCTCTGGACAATTTGAAGGTGCTTTCTCTGGAGATCAAGGTGGGTGTGCTGTGGGGGCCGAACATCATGCGTGTGTGTGTGTGTGTGTGTGTGTGTGCGTGCGTGCGTGCGTGCGTGCGTGCGTGCGTGTGCGCATGTGCGCGCATGCGCGTGTGTGTGAGTGTGTGCACGCGTGGGTGCACGCGTTTCCGTGGGTTGTATGCTTTTTGTGTGCACAGGGCGCTTTCTCAACTCCTTTTCCCTTGCGTCAGCAGCACCGGAGCAGCACCCTGCTTCAATGCCCCTCCCCGCCCGACCCGCCTCCTCTTTGCAACTCCACACCCCCGGCCCATCCACCCATGCCCGCCGCACCGCTTTGCGCCTGTCCCACACAATCGCTGCAGGCCGTCCTGTCAGGCGTCGGAGAGTCGTTTGCTGTTGTGTACACGCGGGAAACCGGAGCCACCGTCGTAGAGGTGTTTGTGCTGGACAACCAGGGCAAGGCGGCAAAGGTCCAGGTCTACTACGACGCGGTGTGCTGACGGACGATGATGTCAGCACGTGCTGTCGCCCTGACTCCACGCATGCAACATTTCCGCTTGAAGACAAGGCCAGCAGAGACCTCGCGCCGTCACGGCGCGCCAACTTCATTTGTTGGCGGCTGGCTGCGTCAGCCCCGCGCAGCCTCCTGCCTTGCTGGCAGCTTTAGCGGGCGGTGGGCACGCAGGCGGCTGCCCCTTTTGTCCTACGCAAGGGGTAGCTGGCGCGGATGTGGCGTCTGCCAGGCTACCGACAGTCTGATGACCTAGGACTCGGACACACTGCACTGTGCACCCCAGGTGGGCTGCTAACTCGCCAGTGCGGTGTCATGCCGCATGACTGCACCTTTTGTGCTGCCAGGGACCCCCTTTTTGCCCCCTATGCATATGAAAACTGCTAGGACTGGGTTTTCGTGGTTGGCGGCAATTGCTGCTGGAGGGTCCGTCTTTGCTCCTGCTGCCGCTGCCCTATTGTGGACCCACCTCGCTCACAACGAGGACAACCCCAGGATTGTGGGGGACCTGGTTCTATTCTCAAACTGCTCTTCATGCACCCGTTCATGCTTTGAGTTTCAAACACAAGCTCACCGAAGCCGTGAAGCTGGTTGCGCGCACCTGCGGTGTCCCACAGCTTTTGTGCAAGGTGTTGAAACGCATGCCGCCTACCTGTTGAAGGAGGCGCTGAGCTCCTTACCTCGATTCTGCACCTACGCGCTAATCACTGCCGGCATTTTCACGAGACATGATAAGCTGAGAAGATGCAAACACTGTTGCGTGCCGTGACAACCAAAGCATGTAAGCTCAGGCGCTGGTGCAAGTGCCTTGCTCCGCATCATGCTAAGCATGCGGGGGAGCGGGTGGGATTCTGTTGTTGCCAGCTTGAGCTGAAGCCGGAGCTGAGCAGCAGCGTGGCGGCCCGAGGAACGGTGCCCATGAGGCTGCATACGCGAGCAGGCGTCGGCCTGAATGGGCACAGGCTTCTGGTCGTGTCTGGGCGGACCCCGCAACCAGTCCAGCATAGGTATGCACCCCCTTTGGATGATGCAGTGAGCGCTGTGTACGGAATACACAGCGAGAGCACAAAGGTAGTGTCTAGCGCGCTGCTGCCTGCCTTTAATGAACGCCTGGGGGACCAAAAGGCAGGATTCACCTCGCTCCCTCGTGCTTTTCAGGAAATTGACGACAGCATAATCATTACAACACCAGGCGTGGGGCCAGCCTATTTGCATACTTTGCAGAGGCTTCGGCCTCAACAGTCAACACAGCTGGGCCACAGCTGGCGGCCCCCACCAGACAAACGCAACGTGCACAAACGTTTTCTGGAATGGCAACCATTGCGCTCACGCAACAGGCGTTGACCAGCAAATCGGCGCAAGAAGGGCATCGAGGTCGCCACGTCTATGACCAGATCAGAACAGATCTGAAGGGTCAGATCTGTCCAGATCAGAAAGATCACATCAGAGGTGCATGTCGAGGAGGATCTCCGCAAGCTCCTGGCTGCCGCTGCCCACGTCATCAGCAGGGTCGGGGTGAGACAGCGCAAACTTCTCCAGATCATCAAAGCCCACCTGTTGGTTTGAATTCAGTCGAACGGAGAAGCAAGAATTCCCAGGCTCAGAAGGCAGGGAGCGGCCGCCAGAATTTTTGACAATACAGTGTCTGACAGTGCTGCTTTGGCAGTTCTGCACAGCTTCATCTTATGTAACGTTCTATGCAGCCAGTACGTTCATGCACCACCAGTCAGACCCTCCCAGACACCCCTCACCTTCCCGGCGATGATCTTGGGCCCGATCCCGCCCTTGGCGCCCCAGCTGGCGTAGCGCTCCTCCCGCAGCTTGGTCAGCGCGCCCGCGTCCAGCAGGGCCGCCGCGTTGCGCAGGCCGCGGGCGAGGGCGTCCATGCCGCTGATGTGGCCATAGAACAGGTCGACCAGAGCGGTGGACTCGCGCCTGGTGTGTGTGTGCAGGTGGTTTGGGAGGCATCGAGCATGTGTATGTGTATATGTGTGTGTCTGTGTATGTGCACGTGTAAGTATGAATGTGTGTTTTTGTGTGTGTGTGTGTGTGTATGTGTGTGCGTGCGTGCGCGAGCGTGTGCGTGTGTTCAGTGGGGTGGTGCGCATGGCAGACCCACTTCGAGGTCATGTACAGTGCGGTGGGCACGGCTCCGCAGGCAGGGCCTGCAACTCCGTGGCCGACATGACATTAATACACAGCACACAACAACAAGAGCGGCCTGCCTTGCGCCGCAAGGACGACACGCCACGCCCGGCCCCACTACACGCGGTCACCTGAGCTTTGCATCAAAGTTGAAGCCGCCGGTGCCGAGGCCGCCGTTGCGGATGACCGCCAGCATGATGAGCGTGGCCTCACGCGGGTCAACGAGGAACTGGTCGGTGTCCCACCCGGTCTGGTGATGCCACGGGTGACGCGGCGGGTGACGCGGCGGGTGACGTTAGGCGGCGGTGTGCGGGTGACGGCGGCGGTTGGGGGGCCGTCAGGATGTTTGAGCAGGCAGGCCGGGTTGGTTTGCGTGGTTGGCCTGTTTTAAACCGGCACGGAGGCAGACACAGGCCAAAATCGGCTTTGGCTGTCATCCGCAGCGCCGCTGCCCATGGCAGACCCTGCAGCCCAAACCAACACGTGTTTTGGTTGCGCGCCCCTCCAGGCAGCAGCGTGCACGCGTGAGCGGCCAGGGGCGCCACCTGAGGGTCCCCCGTGTTGGCGTCAATGTTGCCGAGGACACCGTTGATGCGCGCCGTCTCCAGCTCATGCTCGCAGCTGTGGCCTGCGGTGATGCCATTCCGAGTTGTTGCGCCGCCAGGCACGGGGAGCGTTGTCAGTCAAGTTGAGGGGTTGAATGACACAGCACAGCCGCGGGCTGCCGAACGCCGCCGCAGACGAGGATCTGCCGCCGGTTGGCCGGCAGTGTGGTTGGCCGCCACCCACCCGCAAGGGGCGGGTGGCAGTTGTTGGGGTGGTACAGTTTGAGTGTGCAGGCAGGTGGGCAGTATCACCTGAGAGCGTGGCGTGGTTGCACTCGACGTTGATCTTGAACTCCTTCTCGAGGCCATACTTCCTGGAATTCACGGTGTGAAGGTCAGAAAGAACTTGAGAGGGAAACTGATGACAGGCAGGGTATGGGCCGCAGGTGACGCAGCTCCCAGGGGTGTGCGGCGAAGCAGCCCAGGCCGGCCGGCTGGAATGGTGCAGGCGGGGCGGGGCTCGGCTGGCGGGATCCTGTTGAGTGACAAAGGCTGTCGATTGACAGCCTTGCTCACCTGAGGAAGCTGACGGTGGTGGCCACGTCCCAGTCGTACCTGCATTGATAGGACAACGTATTTGTGGAGATGATATGCATAATGGTGGTCGGCGGTCGGTTTGTGGGCTGCCGCTGAGCCGGAGAGCGGCAAGCCACTGGATTGCAGGGAAGCCCCTGAGCGTATCTCTGTGATTGCGCTTAACAAGGTGAAAAAAACTAGTGTAGCACGAGTCAACAAACATGAGAGGGCGCGCAGCTTCTGGCAGCTTCTCACTGGTGCTTCGTCGGCTCCTGCGGCTTGGGCTCGAGGAGCAGGGTGGCGTCCCACCCCACCTGCTTCTTGTATTCGGAGGCCAGGCGCATGAACCTGGATTGATAACATCACAGAAGTTATGTGTAGGTCAGGAATGGGGATGGTGGCGGGGCGGGGTGAGGCGTGCGGGCCGGGCATGGTGGCGGCAAAGCAGGCTTCTGGGGAAGGTGAGCTACGAAACAGGGGTTTGTGCCCCACTGGCGACGCCGCCGCAGAGCGCGTCTGTCAGATCATGCTGGCGGAACATGCATCACTTGAACATGGGCACGCACACACAAGCCAGGCATGCACCCCAGCACGTGCGTCTGCGGCCCAGTTGCCCTCCTCCCCCCACAAGCTCCAACACCTTACGCTTTGCGTCCCCCACCCCCTGCCCCCCACCTGGCCAGGTTATCAAGCTCCAGGGCCATGTCAGTGTTGAGCAGCGACTGGTATCCCTCACGACCACCCCTGGGGGGTGGAGGCATGACGTTTGTTGTGCGGATGTAGGGGGAGAGTGGGGACGTAGCCGCGCAAATGGGTGCCGTGGCTTTCGAAATGGAGGGCTGCTCGTAATGTGTTGGCAAGTCGTGAGAGGTGGAGCCAGGTGCTGGTGCCTCAGCGTGCATTGCATCGCATATAATGTGAAGTATAACATCAAGGTATTGTGGTTTTGGCCGCGACCCTAATCATTCACAATGCCTCCTTCGCAGACTGACCAAAATCAACCCGCGCCCACGCTCGCGCTCAACGGCACGCAGGCCCTGGCAGGATTGGTGCGCACCAGAATACGTAGTTCTGTCCCCCCAGCAGCTGAGTCACATCCATTGCCTTCTTGACCTGGGGTTGGGGATGAGTCATATTTGGGGAGCACGTGTGCGATGAATAGCTTGTGTATGCGTGTGCAGGTGAGAGGGCTTGTGTGTGTCAGGGGATGGGGCCCCGGGCTTGAGACAGGCCGAGTGAATGCAGGAGAGATGTTGATACTGGAGGCAAAGTGAGAGGACGAGCCGGACGTGTCAGGCGGAGCGACTAATCCATTGCCGCCAAACTCGACAGCGGATGCGAACGCAGGACAGGTGAACCCAGCCTGGGCAGTGGGCGTCAAGAGGGCGAGGAAGTGCAACCCTGTGTGCATGACAGCCCCTTCTGTCGCACCTGGGCCGCTGCGTAGGCGAACACAGTGGCGTTTGGACCTGCGACAAGGGGGCCACGTGAGCGGCTCGGGCCTCTGGATCACAGCAGCATGTGCAGGCGCAGGAGGCCCCGGTACTGGCGACACACAGGGTGGAGGAGCAACGCGGCCAACCCATATGTCGCGAGAAGCTCAGTCCAAGGTCCAGGGAGGGGTGAAACACCAACCCTAGACCCCAACCCGTAAACTGTACCCCCTGCAGCCGTTGGACACAAGCATGAAGCAGCAAAGGGCGTCATCCAGGGTGGTGTTGGCACTCACTGGTGGCCGCGCCGTGCATGTAGCGGGGGTGCTTGAAGAGCTGCGCGGTGCCCCAGAGGGGCCGGATGCGGGTGCCCTTCTGAAGCTCAAGGGCCACTTCCACCACCTGGTGTGATGTGTGGGCGTGTTGTTGGTATGATGTGTGAACTGTATGCGTGTGCGCTATGTGTGCTGTGTTTGTGTGTGCTGCTGTGTGGATGTTTGATGGTTGGTTTTGTGTGGTGAAGGGGGGGTCATGACGCGATCGGAATGGAAATGGGGGGTTCGAGGGTTGCAGCGATGGCTTTGATGGGAGGGGGTCGAAAGCGCAGATCACGGCCGCAACACACGCCTATGAGCGACGAGCGCCTGGACCGTCAAAGTGTGCTGCCAACATTCACAGCCAGATGAGCCCAGCGGCGGGCAGTGACTAGACGGGGCTGCGAATTCGGAGTGAGAAGTGCATGCAGAGGCCAGCCAGCGCTGATGCCCAGGGACCAGCGCTGATTCCCAGGGGTCTCACACCTGGTCGAGGTTGCGGTTGCTCTCCTCCAGGGAGTCACCCTCAGGGGCGATGTCCCTAGGGATTGGGGTGACGGCACGGGTGGGGGCCGGCACAGAGGCAGGTGGGTCGGCGCAGGCGCCACCGCACCACGACTGACTTGATGCAGTCTGTGACAAGCCGTTGCACGCGCCAGTCGCGGCGACGCTCAAGATGCATGCGTGGTCATGCACGCCACCACACAGTTGCTCACATACTCTCATGCAATCTCACCCACGCCCCACAACAACCAAAACATACTCAACATACCCACACATGCTCATTCACACATGCCCACATACACACAAGCCCATTTTGCGCACGCAAACACCCACACTCTCACACACACGTGTACGCTCATGAAGTCAAACCCACCTGTCATGGAAGCACCACAGGTCAACCCCAAGCTTGTCCATGAACTCAAAATTGGCATGCATGGCCCTGGGTTTCGCAGGGTGGAGGCGTTTGTGTGTGAGAGAATATGCGAGTGTGAGTGCGTGAGTGCGTGTGGACGTGCGGGCACATAGGTGAGAGTTTCAGCACATGGAGAGCCCACACTTGCTGGGAATAGTGATGGGCGGAGTGCTGACAGCTGCTTGTTCGAGCGCACGCTGATTTTGAGGCCAAGCATCGTTGTCCGGCGCATCACGGCCGACGACTGGATCACTGCCAGTCACACACTGCTGCATGGCAAGAGCACCCTCGGCCGGCTGCACACAGGGCAGTTGCCCGGGAAGCAGGCGCCACAGCGGCGCCGCAACTCTGCATGCAAACACCCAGCCCCAAGAGCCGCTGAGTCCCCAGAAAATCCAGTGTCCCCAAGCCCCCCAGCCCCCCAGCCCCTGCGTGCCCAGCCAAATTCACACCTGAAGGCCCGCTGCATAGGGTCAAGCTTGGGGTCATCCCACGGCCAGCTCTGATGCAATGCAATGCAGGTTGTACGAATGGTTGGTGGGCGTGCTATTCAAGACAAGGGGACCGGCTGCTGGGTGGCCGCACCGCGTTGCCGCACACGGCACCTGCCGCCAAACTCGATGACGGCACGACCGAAGCCATGGCGGGGCTTGCATTCGGGAGTTCGTTCAAAAGGTGGTGGGTGAGTGGGTGGGTTGGGGGGCAGCTGGAGGCGTCACGCGCGTGGCGCACCTTGGTGGCAGACCCAAAGGGGTCCCCGCCGTCGCCGCGGAAGGTGTGCCAGAACGCCACGCTGAAGCGCAGCCTGCGGCGGCGGCGGGGCGCCGGGACGGGGCCGCGATTGATCGTGAGAGCCCATGGGCATCGGAGCCGCCGGGGTCGGTGCAAGCGGACCGCATGTCTGGCGCCGTGCTGCAAGAAGGCTGGCACCAGGGCTGAGCGGCCCCTCACCCCTGCCTCGACGCCGGCAAGTAGAACCCATCCCTCGTCCCCCGCCCCCTCCTGTCAAAACAACGCCCACCAGTCCTTCATCGTCTTGCCGCTGATGACCTCTTCAGCATTGTAGTACCTGCGGGTGAGCGGTGTGCCTTATGCACCGTCGCAGGGCGGGGCTGGGGGACGAGACCAGGCGGGCTGGTCATTGCTGAGCCAGCTGGTTCCCCTGGGTCCTTGGAGGTCAAGGGATACGGTGGGTGAGGAGGGGATTGGGGCAAGGCAATGTTGGCAGGCGCCGACGAGGGCGCACCTGAAGGCCAGGGGGTTGGTGCTCTTGGGTCCCTCGTACTTGATTTTCGGGATGCCCGGGAAAAACTGGGGGCGCGGAGAGGGCGGTCCAGAGGTGAGGGTGGAGGTGGAGGGGGCGGACGGGTGCAGTGCAGGCCTCGGCACGCATGCCCTGAACTTTGCGCCAACACTTGGGTGGAGTGTGTTTTGCACTTGCCGCATGGCCTCACCTCGCCGTACCACTCGCCCTTGAAGTCCCCAGAGCACCCGCAGTCGGCCTTGCTGCCGTCGGCCGGGGGCTCTGCGCTGCACTTGCCGTCCTCCGTGGCAACTGCACCTGACGCCGCCAGCTGCACGGCGGCCGTTGCACAGGCGGCACGGAGCCTTATGACGACAAAAAAGTGGTGATTGCGCCAATGGGAGCAACCCGCGCCCGATCAGCTCGTCACCTTGCTCCAACACACCTTTCGGCACCCTACATCTGGATCCACGCCAACTCACCAGCAGCAGGGCAGCGCCCATAACAAGGATTCCACGCCTCATCGCTGTAAAGTACTTCTCTTGCAGCTCGCGACACACGCAGATCACGCCTGATCGCGGTTTGTGCAAGTCGCGGGGCTGCAAGCACAACGGAAACAGCAGGCAGCAGTCAAACTGCCTAGCCTATCTTTGCAACCTGAAGTTGTGCGGCGTCCCATCGCAGCAGGAATGGGGCGCATATGGCAGGTGGGTGGCCACGCCACATCGTCAGCTGGTCGGCACCACATCTCTCCTGGGGTGACACTCATATCTGTTTGCCATTTTCACCCCCTTGCATGACAGTAAACCAACCACTTCAATCTGCACCCAGGTTGCACCGCACGGCTGAGGCGATCGCAAGCTAACACAGTGTCATGAGCAGCATGGACGGCAGCAGGCGCAAGAATGCAGAGCTGGTGTGCAGCGGCGCAGCAATGCCATGGGCGCAGCATGGCAGCTCGGCACCGCTGATGCCAGCGAGCATGACGTTTGGCCTACCCTTTATGGGCCTCGGGGGCGCGTCAAGGCGGCGCTCGGCGCCGTTTGCGAGCGTGAGCGCTGGAGCGCTGGCGCCCCCCAAGCTGTTCGCTACCCCCAAGGTCGAGCCGGCCACAGGGATCGATTATCCAGACAACCTCTGCGTAATCACCAAGAACCACTGCCCTGGGCTCGCTGGAGTGGGGTGAGTTCAGCGCGGTTGGGCAGCAACCCGGCGCTGGTGACCGCGGTATCACGCCCATTGTGATTTTATCACTATCACATCCGGAATTTGTTGTTCTTCATTGGTTTTCATTTGCAAGATCGCTTTTTGAGTCCCGTTTCGGCCGCCTCGCCGACGACCTGCCCGCAGCGTGCGTGCCAAGCGCGTCTTAGGCCTCAAGAACATCAATGGTGGGTCCCTGCGCACGCTTGCTCGAGTGCGCGTGGACCGGCTTCCGAAACGCATGGCCGGGCCTGGTTGCGAATGTTGAAGCACTCTGGGTCTCACGATAATCACTTGTGGATACCTTCGTGTCCATGCATTCGCCGCAGTGTACGCCCTGGGCCTCTACGTCGACGCGCATGGGGCCAAGAAGGCCCTCGGCAAGTGGAAGGGCAGCAGCAGCGACACCCTCCTGACAAACCAGGCGGCTTTTGATGGTGGGTGGCGTTTGGGCAGCAGTCGAAAGGTGCAGGCCAGCACTGGCGTGCTGGGGCTGCTGGATGGGCGTGCGGCGGGGGTGGCAGGGCGCTTGGCTGGAGGCGCCCCGCCCCCCACGCCCCGTTGACCAGGTTGACCGGCAGTGTGGGCTGGCTGGATGAGTGGTGCTGTTGATTGGAGTGCAGAAGCGCCTGTAGCAGCCAAGGCGTCGGCGATGGTGGCGGCCACTCTCAGCGCATTGGCCCCCCAAGTGCTGTTCTGGACTGCTGGATTGCCAGCAGTCGCAGCACCTCTGTCGCCAGCATCCACAAACAGCACTTTGGTGGTTCACGAGACGCGGCGCCATTGCAGCTGAAACCATCTTTGGGTTCAGCCTGCTGAATCGGGAAGCGCGTCGGCCCTTCCCCAACCTGCATGCACAAACTGCGAACGCTCTCCAACCCGTGCTTCGCCCCACCCCAACACTCCCACGCGCAGCCATCACCACCGCCGAGTCGTTCGAGCGGTCCCTGCGGCTCGTCATTAGCTTTGGCTCCCTCAAGCGCGCCCAGTTTGTCAACGCCCTGGAGGAGCGGCTCGCGCCGCCCCTCAACAAGGTGGGCCCCCGCGCTCCCTGGCTGTACGGGTATCACAGCCACCGGGGACGACCCGCTTGCGGCCACTTGGACTTGCGTATGCCATTGATTGACCATTTCTTCGTTGTTGTGAGGCGTGTCAGTCCTGCAATACTCCTCTCACCCATCGCACCCAACCACCCCCTCCCGACCGCTCCCAACCGCCCGAACCGCCCCCCCACGCGCCCCCCCCGACAGGCCGGCAAGTCTGACGTCATGAAGTCATTCGAGCGGCTGTTTGACGGCGCCTCCTTCAAGAAGGGCACGGCCATCGACTTCTCGGCCAGCGGCAAGGGCAAGCTCGTCACGAAGATTGACGGCCAGCAGGTGCGCGGCCGCGCAGGTCATCCCGCTCAAGAGCTGGGCAGCCCATTTGGCTGCGATCTGTGGATCGTTGTACGGCTGCACGATCAGGGCCGAGTCCCTGACAACAAGGCCGCCAAGCCGGGGACCAGATATGCGGTGACTTTCATGCTCCAGTAGGCATTACTGCAGAGCGCTCAATCAGCACCGTTTGACTTTTGCCTACCCATCTCTTGCTTCATCCACCCCTTATGAATCACGTTCTGCAGGTGGGCACCATCGAGTCACCTGAGCTGGTCAAGGCGCTGTTTGACATCTACCTGGGGTCAGACGCCGTCAGCGCAGACGCAAAGGCCTCCTTCGCACAGGGTCTCTCCTCCCTGCTGCAGGAGTAGGCCGTTTGTCCGGGGGCGGTTCCTGACGTTTTCTCAGAATGTCGTCGCATTCCTGCTCTTTTTGCAGCCCAGCCAGGCAGCCGCCTCCGGCAGGTCAGCCAGGCAGCTGCCTTCGGCAGCCCTGCCTCTCCTTTACCTTTTATGCCGACGCCTGAATTTTCTGCATCAGGGGCAGTTCCTGATTTTTGTTGAGTGCCTGAACTAAGCATGACCTGCGGTGTGGCCGGCGACACGTCAGCATGCAGTGCTGCGCCTCCTGTAATTTGGCACGTGAGTCCAGGGCCTGACATGGTTGGCACACAATGGCAGGCCACACACGATGTTATTGTGTACAGCTGCTGAGTGCTGCCATTGCTGGTTAGTAGGGGCTTGCTTTCAGCCTGTTTGAGCTCACAGAGGTAATTGACAAGAGCGACGATTTATTGGCTGCGATGCCGTGACAGCCAGGGAGTGCGACTGCTACTGACTAGTTGTGAGCAGATGGTGACAGTGGCGACGGCGGGGGGCCCAGGTGTGACGCCCGCAGCCGTGCATCGCGCTGGGGCGCGCGAAAAAGTTGAGTGGGGCATGCATTCGCGCCGGGCAGGGTCCGAGAGCGCTCCGGCGGCCTGGGCTGCGCGCGTGAGGTGTGCCCTTGGGGGGGGGGGGGGAAAAGGAGGAGGGAATATCTGTGATTGTTGCAAGGATGACTGGCCCCAACGGCCATGCGGACGCCAACATCCAGCCGCCCCACGTGACGCGGCCAGCTACACACGCACCCACAAGAAGCCCTGCTGCAATGGAATTGAAACAGAGCTGCGCCTCAACCTGCACCAAACCCAATTGCAGATATGGAGGCCAGTGTGAAGAGCAGAAAAGGGGATAGCTGCGGACCACTCAAAGCGAGTGAATCAAGGGCTTAGATGACGGCCGCTGCGGCAGCGGCAGCACCGGCGCCTCCCGCCCCCCCATCAGCAGCGCGGCCAGCCTGGCACCGCCGGCCGACGGCCCCTGCGGCCCCAGCCCAGGCGGCGGCGCCTGCGCTGCGCCGTCGCTCTGCACCCCTGCGGTGTGCCGCCCCACGAAGCCCACGTCGACGCTGCCGCCGCTGCAGCCCTCCATCAGACCGTCCACCCAGGGCTCGCCGCCCTGCAGCCCCCCAACGCCGCCGCCCCGGCGACGCTCGGACGCCAGCAGCGCGGCGGCTGCCGCGGCCGCGCCGGCCTCGGCGCGGGCGCGGCGCTGCTCCGCCGTAGACAGAGACAGTCTGGTGCAGGGGTGGATGTGGGTGGGTAGAGGCATGCGCCCACGTGCGAAGTCGGCGGGGGCGTGTTGAAGCTGCGTGCGAGCACATCGCCTTGTCCATGCCCTTGCATTGTACAGCTGCCTGACAAAATAGATTGTCCGTCTACTCGGGCGCATACAATAGGGACAGTGTCATTGATGCCGAAATAGCAGCACCTCTGGCCCTGCGGCCCTCACCTCAGCTGCTCCAGCAGTCCCTCTGCGTCCGCCTGCTGCTGCCTGGCACGCGTCAGCTGCGCCTGCGCATCCAGCCGCCCGTCGCGCTCCGCCTGACGTGCGGCGTGACGCGCGGAGGTTGCGTCAGGGTGTACGTGGGTTGATGTTGCGAGCAGCCTGACTTGCATGGGGGGTGACGGATCAACTATGAAGCCTCCAGCCGCTGCTTCATGCCCCTATGCACTGTTTCAGCTCATCAAAAAGAGATGCACCGCAGCAAGGTGCGTCTGTGTGCCCCTGGAACGAGCCAAATTGGAGAGCTGCCCTGTCAGCCTCTCCCAGGCAACAGCCTCACCTGCAGCGCGGCCTGCAGCCCCACCACCTGCTGCCTGAGCGCGTCAGAATCAGCTGAATGCTTCGCGGTCAGCTGGCCCAGCTGGGTCCTGAAGGTTGTGGGCCACCGCACGACATAATCAGGTGAGGTGCGTTGGCCACGCCGTCAATAATGGATGACGCGCTTAATCCCTAGCCTGGCTTGTGTGCAAAGAGCAGCAGCCGCGGCAGCAGCCAGGTACACACGCGAGCAGGCCCTCACGTGTGCGCCGCTGCCCTCTCGCGCTCCCCCGCCAGCAGCAGCTGCGCCCTCTGCGCCGCAGACCCCTTGGCTGCCGCATCGTCCCTCGCAGCCGCGGCCGCCACAAGTGCCTCTTCCCTCGCCGCATCCGCCTCTGCCAGCCGAGCCCTGTGAAAATATCAGTCACAGTGCAAGCTAATCGCTGTTCCCTGTTGCCGTCAAAAACATGTCCGACTTTGACTGCGGAGCTATGGTGGTTCAGTTTGACTAGATGTGTAAGGTCTGCTGAAGAACGTACGCCATGCCCCTGCCGCCAGCAACAAAGAAATGCATGTAAATGCGCCTACTCGTCTGCACCCCCCACGTGCCTGGCAAGAGCCAGCTGCTGCCGCGCCTGCGCGTCCCGCGCCGCCTCCTCCTGTGCAGATAGCGCGGCTGCCTCCCTGGCGTTTGCGGCGGTGGCGGCGGCCTGCAGCTCCACCGACTGTGTACGCGAGGCCCAAACAGAGGGGTGGGGCCTGACGAGTGCAGATCCAGAGCACTGCTGACTTGTTTGTCAATGGCTCTGAGTCATGTTTACAGCTCCCAGATGCAGGAGCTCAATCAAAGTGTGCAACTTTGAACCCAGGAAGGATGTGATGTCACCCCGTATGAGCGTGGCCCACCTCGCCCCCCTCACCCTCAATCTGGCGCAGCTACGCTTGCCGCGCAGCTTTTCGCCGCGTGAGGCGTCGCGCTCGCGCTCGCTCACTTGCGGGTGATCTCTCGCGCTTGCGAGCGCTCTTTCTTTCCTGTCACTCTCTCGCTCTCTCACTCTCTCACACTCCAATGTTGCGCGCACAGGTTGGCCGTCAAGCGCGCTAACAGTGGGGCGCATTGTCAGCACGCTACACGCCCACAAACGCCCGCATCCGCCCCCCCCCAGTCAGCCCTCCCCCGACACAGACACCCACACACACACACGCACACAGACACACAAATTATGCACATGCTTGTGATCTCACCTGCAGCCGGTCCAGTGCGCGCCTGAGCTCCTCCTCCCGCTCCTCAAGCCGCCTCCCCACCCGCGCCGCCTCCTCCTCTGCCGCCGCCCGCGCCGCCGCCGCCGCGCCCTGGCCCTTCTCTAGCTCGTCCTGCATGGCTGCCGCCCTGCCGCGCCAGCGAATGGCGGTGCCCTGGCTCTCCGAGAGCTCCGCGCGCCACTGCGCGGCGGCTTGGTGGTGTGCGCGCTGGGCCTGGCCAGGGGGACATGGCGCAGGCAATGGGGGTCGGGTGGGGTTTGTGGAGCAAACGTGGTGGAACTGTGCCAGGACCTATAAATCTCCAATTTGCTTCCTGGGTACTCATTTCAAGGCAGCTAGCTTTGTGTTGCAAAATCTTTTCATTCTCCTGCGAGTTGACATGTGCAAGAGAGCTCTGTCCGTCTGCAGGGCTTGGCGACTGCATACGGCATGCAGCGTTTGCGGGAGGCAGCCGGTCGCGCGACGCACCTCACGCAGCGCAGCCTCCTTGCTTGCCAAAGCCGCCTGAGCGATGGTCAAAAGCCGGGCCAACGATGAGATTGGTGCGTGCGACACTGGAAGCACGAACCTCTGAAACATATCAATGCTTGCTACCCCAACACGCGCGCGGTCGCTGCAGACGCCCAGGCAGCTCTCCCCCGACGACACGCACTGGGGTGCCCTCACGCAAGCGGTCGCCGCCCTCATGCTGCAACCAGCGGCCCTCGGACCGCGCCGCCACCCCACCCAACCTTGACTTGCTCAAGCGCCGCCGCCAGCCGCTCCCCCTCCTCCGCCAGCCCCGCTGCAGCCTGTTGCTGAGCCGCCAGCTCAGCGACAACCGCCTCCCCCCGGTCTCTCAGGGCATCAGCCTGGTGCGGCAGCCGTAGGATGCTCCAGTGCATTTCGCGTCGCAGCAGAAGCGCAAAGCGCAAACTCAACCGTCCACAGCACTACTGCGTGCAATGTTAGCACACTGCACGCTGACGGTGGGCAGAGCCGGAGCACTGCATGCTGTGGGAACATCTGCCACCTACCCGCGCCTCGGCGTCGGCCGCGGCCTCCCGCGCCGCCTCGCCGCGCGCCTCCGCTTCCCGCAGCCGCCCGCCGCACGCGTCGAGCGCTGACTGCAGCGCGGCGGCGCGCGCCGCGCCAGCGGCGACCGCGCGCTCCTCCCTGGCTGCCGCGTGGCGGCGCTGCGCGTCGGCCGCGCGCTCTGCCTCCTGCCTGCAGCAGAAACGCGGTGAGCCCCGATTCTGAAGGTGCTAGCGCGTCGTTCGATGTCTACAAAGCTCCAGCAATCAGCCACAGTGGCCGGATGCTACCCCGGCACCAGCAATCAGCCAAAATGGCACATGCTTCCGAGGCACCACAGCTGGAGCTGGGCTGAGGGGCCCCGTTGACAACCCCTGCTGCGCCCTCGAGCCCAGACACCCCTTGGCCCGCCGCACCTAAGCTTGGTGAACTCCTGCTGCAGCCGCCCACACTGCTCCCGCGCCCCGCCCGCCTCCGCCACGGCCGCCGCCGCGGACGCGTCGGCCGCGGCGAGAGCCCCCCTCACCGCTGCTCCCTCCGTCTCCAGCCCGTCGGCGCGCGCGGAGAGCGCGCGGCACTCGGCCCTTGCGCGCTCCAGCTGAGCCTGAGATGCCAGACCGTATAGATTTCGGAATCAATCTGAGCTATTTTGGATATCTTGGAAGCAATCAACACCGTGCATTCCAGCGGAGTGCCTGGGCCATAAAATCTTGTTTTCACTGCAACAGGACGGCCCCTCAGCTCCGCGCGCACCCGGTCGGCCGCCGCCTCGCCCCTCTCCACGGCCGTCTCCGACTGCAGCCGTGCGCGCGCCACGCGCTCTGCTTGCAGTGCGTCCCGCGCCGCCAACAGCTCGCGCTCCGCGCCCGCGAGGCGCGCTGCGTGCGTGGCGACGACGCGCGTTCGCACTGATTGCTACCATTGGCCGCGACCACCACGCGTGGCTGCAGGCAAGGGGTACGCCTTGCCTGCACGCCACACAGTGCACACACGTTAACCCACTCTATCCAATCAGCGCGCTGTTATGCATAAGATCCCACTTGCAGTCCCCAAGTCCCAAGTGAAGCTAAGAATCAAGCTCCTGCAGCAGGACATTGGGGCTACAGCGACTGCTCCCACCTGCCCCGCCCTCTGCAACGCCCCTCGCCGCCCGCTCCGCTTCCAGCTCAGCACCCAGCGCCGCCGCACGCCGCTCCTGCTGCGCCGCGCGCCGCCGGGCCTTCTCGCGGCCCGCCGCCTCTTTGTCTGCCCTGCACGCGGGCGCCGGGCAGCGTGCGGGCGGCGCGCCTCGCCCGCACGCCAACCCAGGGCAAGGGGCGGGCAGGGTGCCAGCCCTGTCCTCGCGTTCGTGACGATGCCAGCCAGCATGCGCGGCACCACGCCACCAGCCCCTGCTACATAATTGTCACACTTTTGAGACCCAGACCGCATGCGCACGCACCACACAAACTGCTTATGGGACGCCACCTGCCGAGTCACGCCCGCGCCAATCCCCTCCTGTCCGCCCCACCTCGCCTCCGCCGCCTCGGCCCTGGCCCGCAGCTCCGCCGCCGCCGCAGCCGCGCCAGCTGCCTTGTCGCTCAGCGACTCCAGCAGCTCGCCTTGCTCCCGCTGCAGCGCTTGCAGGCGAGACAGGTGTCCGTCGCGCAGCCTGCGGCAGGTCGTCCAGTCGTGGAGGGTAGGACAACGCGTGGAAGGTAGGATGATATAGGATTGTCACAGCGTCCCGCCCACCCCTAGAGCCATGCATCCAGCCTCTTCCAGTCGGCCCATTGAATCATGAAAAATTAAGGCGCATGTATGGAGGGCGTTTCGCACGCACATGCCAGCCTTGCTGGGTGGTGGGACAATGCACCTCATGCCCAGGGGGCTGCCCAGGCGCTACAAAACCACGGGCGCCGCGGGGAATTTCGCTCGATGGGCCACCCAGTCACCCAGTATCGAAGCTGCAGTCCCAATTCACGCGGCTGCTCCGCAAAGCACCTTAGCCCCGCACCTTCTGGCGACCTCCTGGAGCTTGGCGGCGTGGCAGGCCTTCTCCTGGGCACGTCCCTGTACCTCCTCCGCCAAGCGCCCCTTCAGGCTTGCCTGCTTGCCAAGCAGCGTGAGCGCACGCAAAATTGCAGCATTATGCCTGGGCACGTCTCATGCTGTCAGCGGGGCCCGGCCGCGGGCCTATTGACGATGCTCTGGCCAACACCTCGACTGTGGGCACGCAGAGCAAGCAGAACGGCCGCCTTGCGGTGTGCAATATTAGCGGTGGCACCAATCCAGTGTGTATACTGTTGTAGCTGCAAGAACGCCCCCACTTTTTTGCAAGGCAGGGATGCACAAGCATGTGCAGCCTGAGTCATAAAGAGCTAAGAGCGCGCGAGCAGCTGCCCACCAGCTTCTCGCGCTGCGTGGCGATTACGCCTTCCAGCTGCTGCACTTGATGACACAGCTCCTGCTGCACCTGCGAGAGCATCAAAGCATGAACATCAACTCACCCGTCGAGCATTGTACGTGATTGCATGCTTGCAATTCCCACAGTTCAAGTGGGGCCAAGCGGCCGAACCATGCCCAAAGGGGGGCGTACATGCATTCGCTCGCTGGTCGAGCGAGCCGCAGCGGCGCAAGGCGCCCACCTCGCCGCTGCTGGCGTGGAGGCGCGTAACCTCCGCCTTCAGGCAACTGTTCGCTGCAGCCAGGTCCTGCTCGGCAGTGATGGCGGGGAAAGCCGCATGGGGCTCGCAAGGCAGTGTTTCCCGTTGCTGCGCTTCTTCAGGGCGGCAAGCGTTCGCACTTGCGGCTCTGTTCGCCGCGCGACTCGCGCCGCATGGCAGCAACATCACGCACGGTAAGCCTGTAAACACGACCTGCCACCAAACTGCATCGCTCACCTGCAGCGCCGCCGCCTGATCCTGCAGCAGCTCCTCTGCCTGCTCGGCCTTGTCAGCAGCACGTGCGCCTACACGAGCGCGCGCCGCGAAGCTGCCCACCGGCCTGCCCTTGCTACCGCCGCCGACGCTTGCGGCCCGCAGCGAAGCCTGCCAGGGCGCCGCTTCCGATGGGCAGGAGGCCTGCGGCCCATGACGCGTGCGGCCAGCGCATCTGCTGGCGTAGGGTGGCACTGCCTCTTGTGCCAGGTGCAGCGTGCGCTTCGCCCCGCGGGTGACGCGCTGAAGCTCGTGGTCAGGTATCACGATATATCTTACGCCATCATCTTCGCTCATGATTATGTATGTGACCGTTGATCAGCTCATCGCTTTGCATGATCTGCGAGTTCTTTGAACGCCATGACTGGCAAGGTACACGTGTATAATTGTGTTGAGTCGAAGCCATGATTTTAAGAAGGGTGGTGGCCCAGAAGCAGTACCATATCGACCGAGGCCTGCAGGGTCGGGTCAACTCTTCATGCAGCTGACAGTCATCCAGTCAAACGGCGCGGCGTGCATCCGTGAAGCCCAAGCCGTGCCCGGGGGCATGGGGGGGAGAGCGTCCTAGGAAGAATTCTCAAATCACTCTGTGTTGCCATGTGATTCAGGGTTGAAGCGTCAAGGTTGACACAGTGCTGTCGCGCAATGCTATAGCTGCAGGCGCATCCAGGCACACCCTGTGCTTGACGACCACATCGGTGTGCTGTGCAGAGGGTTGGTGCGTTTCAGGCTGCCCCTGCAGGTCAGCAAATGTACGTGCAGCAGGGACTGCCGGTGCACAATGTCACATGCCGTCATACCTTCTTTGTGGTGGCCCAAACCGCGTCTAATCCCTAGCCAGCCCACACCGCCCCCGCACACCGCTTGGAGAGAAGTGCAGGAGTGTGCATAATGTCACAAGAGTGGTTGCCATTCGTTTCCAAAGGGATTCTGTGATGCGTGAAACGGCTAGGAATCGTGAAGCGCTGGCCTCGTCACAGAGGACAACTGCGTGAAGTATTGCTCCACAGCTGTTTAGGCGTTGTTCTGCCCCTGACATCACATGCTCGCGCGGATTGATTATGATGATCATCACAACTTTACATTCCATCATACAGGTGTGCTGGCACTCCGCCTAGGAGACCATCTCGCTGATCACCCGCCCCCCAGCACAGCACACTCAGCATGGCGCGTCACCAGGCCAGAAGCAGCACCGCGGCATGCGCAGTGGCCGCCTCGATAACCCTAGACACCTACCAGGACACCTGGTTCAGGTGGCCGTCACGCGCAGCGCCGTCCTCAGGCGCGCATCGACCAATCGCTGACATCGTGTCACACCCTGGTCACACCCCCTCATGCCCCCCCCTCTGCGAGCAAGTGGCGGGCCTGCCACTTGCTGCTCCAAACTCACTTTCAGTTTCACCGCATTGAATATCGTCTGCAGCCATGTCTAGACGCAGTGGGGAACAGCAAGGGGGTGTTCTGCAGTCCGTGTTGAGGCCTGGACGATCGCGCTCCCTGACCCCGACGGGGCAGTCACCGACGGGGCAAAAATCGCCATCCTTCACGGGGTCCAGGCGGAGCCGCAGCCTCGCCATCCATGTCAGTGAGGGCGAGATCGACAGCTGTGGCGCTCGTGCACATGCACGATCGCTAGATAATGCTGAGTCGATCGAATGCTTCATGTACCGCTGGTGCTGGCGGGAAGTGGTGGCTTGGCAAAGGGTTGTCCGACGCCTTTGGACCGCCGGCGCCAGCTGCATGCGGGCCGCGCAACTGCTGCAGCCGACGCCCCCCTCACGCGTCGCCGCCCGCCCCGCAGCAACTCGAGGCGACCGGCACCAGCCATGAGGACGCGGTGCTTGCGAAGTTCAAGAAGATGATTTCGGAGGCGGGGCTGCAGCTGTCGCCGGAGTTTGTCGTGTATGGCGACCTGAACGCGACGCTGCACCGGTTCTTGCGGGCGCGGAAATACAAGCTGGAGGCGGCGTTCGCCATGCTGGAGAGTGAGCTGCTGGTCGCGTGGGGGCGTGCAGCATGGGAGCGAGTGCAGGAGCCTGCGCCCCCGTTGTTTTGGGGGCGTGGCCGCCACAGCAGGCGAGCTGCGGCGCGGCGGGATGGGCGGAAACGCAGCGTACGGTATGCATACAACTTTTTATTACTGCTCCCGCAGCCGCAGCCGCGACGAGGCACCGAGCAGCCCGCAGGAGCGTCTCTCTGGTTCTGATTCTCGATCCCGCCCCTGCACCCGCGCACACGCGCGCGCCGCAGAGAGCCTGGCGTGGCGCAAGCGGGTCGGCGCGGACGGCGCCCTGCGCCTGGCGCTGCCGCAAGACCTGGTGGCGCTGGTGCGCGGCTGCAGGCCCAGCAGCTACATCGGCTTCCACAGAGAGGTGCGCTGAGGGGCAGACCGCGCGCCGGCACCCCCGCTCCGGGCTTCACCAGGCCCCGGTGGATGCGGCCGCGGCCCGACAGAGCAGGCCGCCACCAGCAGCTGCAGCCTAGGTCGGCAGTAGCGGCGGGGCCGCGGCGGCCGCCGCGCCCGCGCGGGCGCCGGCCAGTTCACCGTTAGCCACGCCCTACCCTTGCCCTATGTTTGAACCTCCAAGCAAAGCGGCACCCCTGCCTCGCCCCCCTGCTGACATGGCCCCCCGCTTTCCCTGGCCCCAGGGCTTCCCCATCTTTGTGGAGCGGCTGGGGCAGCTGGATGCGGAGCGCATAGAGCGGGAACACCTGAGTGAAGAGCAGATCCTGTCATACCACTTGCGGGAGATGG